GAATGACAAACTTGTTGGCCTACTCTTAGATAAGAATACTGTTGAATAGTTCTATGAATGGAAGCTTTTTTCATAGCTAATTTAGTTAAGCACCGAAAAAGACTTGAATCTTTATCACAGTTGTAAACTGAGCAGGGCCCATTATTAATCTTTTTTCTCGGCATTTGTTAGAAAACTTTATTATATTTGATAAAATCGACGTGTTTTAATACATATTTAATGTTTTATATACTTTACATCGCGCGAAATTTTAATTCAAAATGCAAGTGATCGATATTTATTTTTAATAACTTCAATCTTTTCGCGATTCAATCTTTTCGCGATTTTAATTTTTAATAATCCTGGACGGTGATTAGAAAATTGGCTAAAGCTAAAAAATTGCTAAGACTAATTCAGATTTAATGGGTCTTTTTTTTTTTTACATGAGGGTTAGCTATTTCTGAAAAAAAAAAAAAAATCTATTCTGAAAATCAAAATCCAAGAAACCACTTTTTTCGCAGTTGTCTGAAATCGCTAGTTCTAATTATATTTTTTAATATAAAAGTAATTTAAAAATTACTTTAAAAATAAGGTTTCTATAAATGTGCCGGCAAGGAAAAACCTCGAACCGGAAAAAAGTTTATTATTTCCGGTTCGAGGTTTTTCCTTGTCGGCACTTATTCCGGTTTGAAGTTTTTCCCATATCGATATGCGAAATCAAAAACTAATTATCAGCCAATCAAAAAATAATTGATTGTCAGCCAATAAAAACGATTAAAAAAACAAATGATCATCAGCCAATCAAATGGATTTTTAACTATGCTTAGTCGTACATTCTACCTTTTTATAGTTTATACAAACAATCAGATTGTCGTACAATAGGTCACGTATTGTTACACGATAGGATGACAATGCCGATATTGTATTTTTCCAGAATTCGAATAAAAAAAATTCCGCATGCGGGGACCGTGATTTATTTAAAATATTTCAATGTTACGGAATTTGTCAGTAAGGTTACATGAATTCTTAGACTATCATTACAGCATTGATCGTCACGTTTCGTGACGGAAATTTATTTTTATTAATTATTCGAGGATATAATAGAACTTGAAACTATTATGAAATAGTAAAGCTTTCACTTATCGCTTCTTTCCTTAAAAAATCATCGCATTCACATTGCCTATATTTGCCAACTGCTACTTTTTTGCATGCTTTGCAATATAGATGTGAATGATAATTGCATTCGTCACAAACCCCTTTTTTCTCATAAATTCGGATTATATAATTATCCCATATATATAACAAAAAATCTGGCTTTGAGTGATAAAATCATGAGAAGGCAGGGATATGCCACTTTTTGAAGTAATTTTGTTTCTCTCTATGTGTAAGTGTCTTATTCTGACCTTTCATCTTTTACAAAGTAAAAGGAAAAAATATAACGTGGCTAAAACTTTTTTATTATACAAACCTGTAATGTGTGGCACTTGTGCTTGTGACCTGTTTATGAACAAATTATCCATAGGAAAGGGTCATGATTTTATTCCTATATTTAGCAAAAAAATTTTTTCTTTTACAGACACAGTAAGAAAAATTATTTTTGTATGCCATCTATCTGTACATGTTTATTCCATAATTTTATTAATTTTATAGATATAGGTGCCAGCCTGAACTCCTCCCTTGATCTTTGATCTGCAGAAGATAACCTATCAATTAGCTAGCCTTTCTTTTTTAAATAAAGGAGGTTAAATTTATCTCCTGAAATAGCTGGCCGTTAAGGCACTTCGTAAGTCATTCGAGTCTGGACACAGTGTCCTGGCTTAGCAAATTATTTTCCATGATGTTTGGCAATCAGTTATATACATTTAAAAAATCAAGCCCGATATGGGCGGGATATGCAAATGCTTTATTATATGTTTGAGAATACACGTAAATGAAATTTTGTTTTTTCTGATAGTAGAGTCTGGACATGGTGTCCAGGCTTGACTTAATTGTGCAGAAGAAATGGCGCAGTATATTAACAAACCTTTCATTTTAAGATTTCAGCTATTACATAATCCTTTTCATCCTTAGTTAGATTTAAGATAAAACCTGGAGGGGTGGATTTTATTCGTGATATTTTTTCTTTGCCTATACTATTAAAAAGCTTATAAATCTTTTCAGATCTCTCTATCCTTTTCCACAAAGCTTTGTCAGAACATTTTGCCTCAGGAATTGTCTCTCTAATCTCACTCTTGACTAATGCTTGAGATCCATCCTTACCATGTTTGGGTTTTAATTCTTTATATCATTTAAATACAGCCTTCCCAAAATCAAAATAGCTGAAAATAAGACCTCGAGATGCATCTTCATTTTTAGTTTCAGCATTATCAATCTTATTAGAGAGTTGCAAAAAAATACTGGTTGCGCTTTTTCCAAGTTCTCTCCAATAGTGGAAACAGGTGTATCAGCTAATAATTCTTCAATAAGTTTTTTTAATATAAACAATACCTTCTTCCTGCTAGTTTTTTTCACCTTCTTGCTAGACATTTTTTCAGTAGATGCAGATGATTCCCTAGTACATTTTTTCTGGGCAGTCTTATTAAATAAGAGTAATAATGGTAATATATTCATTGGTGAATTTAACCCAAGATTATTGCCTAACATATCTGTAATAGCCGAAGTTCCACTAGACTGAGATAATTCAGAAATCTTCATTCAGATATTACTGAATCAACAATTTTGTTGCAATTAAGAATAGGGCATTTGTTCGCTTCCGTAAGTAAAAAATTTTTTTCAATACATTTCTTATAATATGCATAACTGCATGGAAGTATTGTAAGTGATTCAAAGTTAACCATTAAAATTTTTTTATTACATATTTTACATGGTGCAATTTCATAATGTTAATATTTTGTATCACACTATGTTTTGTTTCTTTTAAAATATTAAGAGTGAGGTTTTGAAGATTAGCAAGAGACATGATGATATTAGTGAAGCAAGTACAGATAAGTTTTTACTATAAAATTCTTTATACTTAGCTTATTTATAGTATATTCTTTATAACTAAAAAAATAATTTAAGATACTAATTTTGGATTTAGTGATCTATTCATTCATGAATTATTTAGTATGAGCCAAGGACCAATTGATCTACTGGCAATAATGGATAATTAGTGAAGAAAAGAGGTACATACTTTATAGATTTTTATTTCATATCGACACTTTTCTACCTGTATTAAAAATAGATCACTCAATTGTGCTCTCAAGGATAGCATTAGAAAAATAGTAGACATTTAGCATTACTGCTTCGAACTGCTAACTATTTTCTTTATCTTAACCTTTCTTGGCTGTACCTTTCTTTGTTGCTTATGAGGAACAGCCTTTCGTTCTCTTATATTGGAGACTTTTTGTATATGCGAGGATAGTTTTTGACATAGATAGTTCTGATTTGATAGATAGTTGTAAAGGATTAATTTCTCGAGAAACTGATTCTGATTTAGTTCTTTTTGAATCAATTTGCATTTCTATGGGGT